ATCCGGCTAGTATAATCCCTTCTACAAAATCAAGTAAACTCACATTAACACAATAATGTCGCTTAAAACGAGAGTTTTGTTTTACATCCATTCAATAGATTTATTAGAGTAATTGTTAGCTAACAACTCATGCCACTCGGTGATAAATTAGATGTAACTACGGTGTTAACATTCTTGATATCTAGCACAGTGTCAACTAGAACTTAGATTTTGGTCTTATAGTTTCGGTTCTTAATAAAAATTACAACTAAATTTAATTTTAATGGGGTTACATCTAATATTTTATCATTCAGGCAACATACAATGAACTCTACGAACATACATTTAATCAGAATACTAAAGCCATTATTTGATTAGTTAACAAATCAGTTGTGCTAAGATGGTTTACATTGTTTATTATGGTTAGCGTTTCTTTTGGCAAAGTCGTTTACGACATGGCTATTTGACTAGTCCTTTCGATCTGCCACATTGTTTAGACATTCCATGTACCTATATTAATGATTGCTCTCGTTGTTAGAAGGGGAATCAGCCCCATGACTTCCGAAGAATCTCGGCTTTCATCATGAGGTGTAATAATTTTTCCTTCGACAACCAGGACAGAGTTGAAGTGGTTTGATTTGTTTAATCTGGTTTGCATCTTTTTAACTAGGATTTTTTCTAAGGGATGAGGTTGCTGACCCCATGCCAACCCTTCTCCTTTACTCGGGATTTAGAACGGTAGTAAATCTAGAAGAGCTACAGGCAGATAAAACTGAAGCTAAAGGAACACTGGATAACCGAGGGTTGAGCAGTACATTGGTTCATTACAACCTTCGTTCGGGATACTAGCAAACTCAACGAATTCATGATGACACTCAACAACAGGTTCAATGTGTTGCAAGATCTACTGAAAGAAGGAGAAACTACAAAGAAGGTCAACTGGAGAAGGGATCAAAGAAGCGCTTAGTTCAGCGTATCAAGAGGTGCTGGGCCACAAGAAGCATCATCATAAGGAATGGGTCTGTGTCGATACCCCGAGCAGGATTCAGGAAAGAAAGAATAAGAAGACATCAATTAAAAACAGTCGAACAAGAACAGAGAAAGTGAAAGCACAGGCTGAATATATAGAAACAAGCAAGCAATTGAAGAGGAGCATTAGGGATGACAAGCAGAAATACGTGAAAGATTTAGCAAGGTCAGAGGAATCATCCACAAAAGAAGAAAATATGAGACAAGGATACTTCATTAGGATATCAAAGAAAGGAGATTCGAGCAAATGTGAGAACTATAGAGGCATCACACTACGGTCGCTACCAGGAAAGGTTTTCAACAGAGTGTTATTGAATCGGATGAAAGATTCAGTAGACACCCAACTTCGAGATCAACATACTGGATTCCGTAAGGAGAGATCGTGAACAGATCAAATCGCGACACTACGGATCATCGTTGAACAATCAATTGAATGAAACATGTCACATTAGATCAACTTCATTGACTGAGATAGAGTATTTGACAATGTGGATAGGAGAACATTATGGAACCTGTTTCTTGGACACAATATAGTGGGTAGCTGATAAAATTATCAACATCATCCGGAATTCATACGACGGACTACCCTGCAAAGTGGCGCATGAAGACCTCCGCATCTGACGGGAAACATGGAATACAATGGACGGGTTGTACTCAGCTATAAGATTTGAACTTCGCAGATGAACTGATCCTTTTATCCCATGCACATCAACAAATACAGATGAAGACGATTAGTGTAACAGTAACCTCTACATCAGTAGGCATCAACATACACAAGCGAAAAAGTAAGGTCATCAAATGTTACACGGAGGTTATCACACACAATCACATATGCTGGGGACTCTCTAGAAGATGTGGAGTCTTTCACGTATCTGGTCAGCATAATCGATAAACAAGGAGGATCTGATGCAGGCGTAAAGGAGCGCATTCCTATAATTGATAAACATATAGAACTCAAAACAATCGTCAACCAATATCATAGTCGGAAATTTCAATACGGACGTCAAGACAATTAGTTATATTGTGGGGAGGTGGAACTTGGAGAACTATCACAACCATCATCAACAACAACTTGCTGTGGGAGAGAACAAACCAGCTTCCAGCTGAGGAGAAGATTAAAAAAAGATGTTGTAAGTGAATAGGACACACATTCAGGAAATAATAAAATTGCACCACTAAGCAAGCACTAATTTGGCATCCTGAAGTGAAATGAAGAAGAGGAAGACCAAAGAATACACCATTTCGGGAATTGGAAGTAGATATGAAAAAGATGAATAGCAACTAGAAACAATAGTAAAGGAATGTTCAAGACACAGTTTGATAGATAATGTTAATGTGTGACCTATGCTCCTCAACATGTGGTAACAAGTGTAAGTAAATAATTAAGTCATTTTCTATATCATGGGATTGTTGACTCCATATTCAACCGTCTTCCTTTATTCAACCTTGAAACTGTTAGTAACCTTAGAAAAGTTACCAGTCAAGTTACTAAGTTGATTTATATGAAATAATAAAAGAAATTTATCTAAACAACTTGGATACATGACAATTAAGTAAATTTTTTATTTTTCATCAAATCAAGATTTGATTCAATTGAATAGTTGATTGTCTACGATTTCCCCCCCTTCTCTCTCTCTCTCTCCCTCTCTATCTCACTCAGTCACTCATTTAATATTGAATTATTAAAACAAAGTTATGTATTCAAAAGGAAAAATCCTACTTTTTATTTATATTAAATTATACATAGTTACATTAACTGACAAGTTCCATTGAGTTTTTCTTTGAATTTTTATTGTTGATTTGAATCTATTGTTATCTAAAGAGGAATAGACAGTTAGTCAGTCAGTTAGTCAGTCAGTTTTAGCCGCATCGTCTTGTTTGTCTAGAGAGGAAAAAACAGTAACAACAACAACAACAACGATTTGTCTTATTATTATCTTATTTAACACAGTTTTTGTTTATAATCAGAGAGGGGGTGTTATGGATATTATAGTAAGTTTAATAGTTGAATTCATGAGTCAATTGAAGTTAGGCTACCATTGTTATCAGTGAGTTACTATCTAATAACAGACCCGATTGAACTCCACTGGTCACAGTGGACGGTGGCGTAATTTCGTGGACTGGTTGAAGGTAGACATTAACATCGTTGAATGCCGGTCGGCTCAGTGGCCGTCCAGTGCTTTCAGATTTTCCAAGGTGGTCTAGCTTCAATTGACTCATGAATTCAACTATTAAAATCACCCTTTTTGTTGACAACTAACACAGAGCTTTAAACCACTATTTACGTTTCACTATTGGTTCCGATTTCATGTAACGTCTCAGTACTCATATGTCACTTTTCTTCAGATCATATTTTGTTTTAGACTGTTATTGAAATTAATATACTAACGATATCTATGTATCAAATAAGCATTAATTACACAGAATAAATTGAATATAATGCTAATTATCTTATTGATATGGTGGGATGAAGAGTACGGAAACTTGACTTTTGAAAGTATCATATGAGGCATATTCACTTGGTATTGTTTACTTGTATCTTCCAATATAGGTACATCCAGTTAACGAGTCCCAAATAGAACGAAATGCACCTCCTAGATTCCATTGCTAGCCACTATCCATCTTTGCATATCATATGAGGAATTATTATTCATATCTATATTGTAGAGATGCTTAGACTTTCATTTTTATATTCTCTTATTTCTGAACTTTGATTTGAATGATCAATTGTTATCAATCTACCTTATTATTCAAGATAAATCACTAATTAGTTACTCCCGTTTTACTCTGGATTAGTTTTTACATATACATTCTAATTCTCTAATTATGTTGCTGTGTGGTCAGATATTTCAAGTTTGTCATTATAGGAGTTTTGGGTTACAACTGAATTGAGTGTTCTGGAGAATTGACCTGAATCTTATATCCACCGTTTGTTTAGCCACTGAATTGTAAAGAGCTCAAGAACCGATAAGAGTTAACTTCTTACCAGTTGTTCATGTGTCAGTTGGTAGATAAAGAGTCACCGGTTCAAATATATTTAAGGTATTGGTATGGGGATTTGTTGAGATTGTGGTATTTTCACCAACCAATCTAAGCTTAACCGCCATTGAAGACCTGGAAGCACTAAACAGTACTGGTAGTATTGGACTATTCCACAGTGCGCACCCACGATTCTGCACGTGCGACTCGAACATGGGACCTTTGGTCTTGCCTACGTGCGATTAACCTCTAGATCACTACGAAAATACTACAAACTACACAAATCCATATGCTGAAGAAAATTTGTGCTCACTAGTGAATAGCTTCACCATGTAACTCCTGGAGTCCTAATGAAAAGCCGTGATCACTAGAGTCCTATCCGTGTCGGGTGGAGAGTGATATCCACCTCAGACAATGGATGGATGGTTGAGCAAGATCCTAGTTCAAACAACTGATAATCCAACTTGAGAAAGATTAAACAATTGCTTTCCTGTCGTTATTATGGCTCAATCACACTGGACCCAACACAACCCAAAGCAAACCATCCGTCTGTTCCTCTGAGGTAACATTAATTGCATCATCCTAATCGACTTCATTTATGTCACATAGTTCTTTATTAGAATGTACCATTACTAACTTGATTGATTGATTTGCTTAGACACATAAACATTGGAAAAGGGAGGCACTACATAAATCATTTGATTTATGTGAGGGCTGAAATACTGCCAGGGTGCCCAAACCGAAGCAGGTGGTTTTCTTAAGAGGCTATACCCCAAGCCTTTGACCTAAAGATCTAATCCACAAGGTAGTAGAGCAACGTAAAGAGATGTAGTTCATATAGTAGCCGGTGACTAACAATTGATTCATACACCATTTGTTTCCCTAAGATCTTAGAGTCCATGTACACCATTGGTTTGAAATGAGGCTACTCCAACTTTCCATAGGTGGATCCTCCATATCCACTAACTTGATGTATAACACAATGTAGATAGTGAATTCCTTATTTTTTTTTAAAAAAAAAAGATGCTTTATTTTAAGTATTTACTCATCACTGGAATGAATTCAGTAAGAAAGTGATGCTTACACAATACTAAATAATGGTGATAGATTCCAGTCTTTAATTAATAATAATAAATAACAAACCAAACCAAAACATCATTTAACTAAATACAAATGTCTCATATTAATTTTCTTCTTGAATTAAATCAATTAAAGAAAAATACCAAAGTATATTTATATGAATTTAATCTAAACTTTATCAACAAGATGTTCTAAATTAATGAAATTATCATCGGTTTGTTCATGTCCTTCATGATAATCTTGTAATTGATGATGTTGACAATGATTAATGAATGATTGAGTTGATGTTGTTGGACGCTTCAGTTGTTGTTGTTGTTGTGATGTTGGCGGTGGTGGTGGCGGTTGTGGTGGTGGTTGTGATGGAGGTTGTAATGAAGGTTGTTGTAATTTTCTTAATTGAGATGAACTTCTTCGACAACAATGATTTGTTATTGATGTACGTGGTAAACTATATATATTATTTGTTGTATAATTCATTGTAGAATATTTTGTTGAATTTGTTTGATTTAATAATATCCATGGAATAACTGATGCTTCTTGACGAAGCCATTGTATATGAATAGGTAGAAAATTAAATTTCTCTTGTAATTGACCATTGGACATATTAAGTAAATCTGCCGGTGTCATTAGTAAACACCTATGATTATTATTACTATTATTAGTAGTATTACTATTTGTAGTTATACTATTATAATGTAATATATGATCTATATACATAGGTAAACCGATGGTTATTAAAAATTCTTGTAAACTGCCTGTTTTTATACCATCACAATTAAGAAAACGTTGTGATCGAATCTCTTCATTGAATGAGATCTAGAGAGAAAACAAAAAAATAAGATACAAAACAACAACATTATTGAGATAGATATAATGCTACAATGTGGAATATACAACGACTATTGACTTACATATTCTATGGATAGTGTCTAACAGAGGAATTTAGAAAGCGCATTTCCTCCTATTTATACATATGCATATATGCCTAGAAGAGACTGATCAATTGTAGTGCTAAACATCAATGGGAAGATTCAAGCAAATAATACCATGTGAATTTACATATTCTATGATTTTGATTGTATCTCAACTTTTATAACCCTTAGTGTCATGTCTATTAGTTATAGATTTGTTTCAGTGTATGTTTTTTTTTACATTCAAATTAATAAAGTAAAACATATTCAGTTTATGTTATTACTTATTTAGACTTTTTAAGCAAAGACGGATGGTAGCTGGCAGTGGAATTCAGGATGCATGTTTCGCCTTATTTAGGACTCTTCAGCTGGATGTACTTGCATCCCAGAGTTGATGTTTACTCTGGAACTCAAGCCCAGTACCGTTCAATTTAAACGCCATCGCGTTATCAAGCCCTGGTGTGAACATCAACTCTAGAATGCAGGTGCATCCAGTTGACGAATCCCAAATAAGACAAAATGCACTTCCTGTATTCCACTGCTCATCACCATCTATCTCCGCTCATATCATTAGTGATAAACTTACTTAGTTTGTAAAACATTCATACGGAAATCGGGTTCGCTGTCAAAGTGATGACAATGTAGATAGCTTCTTCATGCCTATTCTATACGCTATAAAATTACTTTCATGATAAATCTTGAAACTATCTAGATTTGTTGGCATATCATTACCTAATTCTGTAAATGAAAAGCCTTTAAAGCTTGTAATTACTAAAATAATACGTCAAAGGTACTAAATAGTTTATATATGTTTTATATTATTCCAGGAACCTTTGTAGTGACCTACTTTTATCAAGAGAACGCGATTAGTGTAATGTAAACAATTATTATTATTATAACCAGTTGTACCACGGGTTGTTTTGCCGTACTTGTTTGTTTAACTGTACCAAAACACATACGTTCTTCCATTGGTTCTGACCTTGCACGAATTCAGTTACGCTCAGTAACCACACTTGTACTCCTTTCGCACGATCTCGGTATTCTTTCGCTATCACGAGATCACCAACAGATACATCTCGACTACAGCCATCAACTGCCTTCTGATATTTGGCCTACGGGGGATCTTATCGGTTAACTGGCACGTAGTCTTCCTGTAGTAGTGATCATAGTCAACAACGACTCGACGCCATATTAAACCTTAAACATTACACAATAGTGAAACCAGTAGATCAAAGTATCCATTAGCTTGAAACACGATCTCAGTTAAAGTTAATTTTATTCATGTAAATTCGAAATAATTAGACTAAGATAGAAATGTAAAGTTTGTCAATGCATTTTACTTATTGTGGTACCTTCCAGTGATTAATCACAATGTATATCCTCTTATTTCTTTAATACAATTTAATAAACTTATCACCGTTGATCTATTCATTTCTATCTTTATTTTAATAATTCAATAATTAAATTATTAAATATTAATTCTATGCAGTAAGCTCTTTGAATGTAATCAATGAAGTATCGAATCACTATCTGATTACGTCATCTATTGGTTTCTAATGCAGTTGTGGTCTGTGCTACTTATATCGATATGAGTAGTATATAAATGATAGTCAGGAATAGAATGTCCGGCAGCAGAAGGTCTAGACGGAAAGAACCGGAACAGAAAACAATTGGTATGAAAATTCAGGAACAATGAAGTCTGAGACGATTGACTGACATTTTGTAAACTTAATTATTCACTTTACTGTTCTCAGATTTTACCAACATGTTCTGTAATTTTGTGTTCAAATACATTCGATTGTCCCCACTTGTTTTCTCGTTCACTTCATAGTATTTAAAGGCATTAATCGGATGATTTATATCTTGCCAAGGAGAATCAATATTGTAAGTGGTCAAATTCACTTGGTGTTGTTTAATTGTATCTTCCCATTGTTGTTTAAGACTACAATTGATCAGTCTCTTGTTGACATATGTATGGACTGCCTCAATATTACCTTAGGTCACAAGCTTTATAAACAAAGGTAGATAGTGGCTAACAGTGGTGATATCTAGAATATATATATCTAACATTTGAAAAAGTGAATGTTTCAGAAGGATGATTCAGTGACTTGAACTTGTTATATCCTAGTGAAGATTAAATTACGAGTAACTTCTGAGACCTATTAATGGACTAATATGATATGGATGTATTCCTATCTTATGGTGCGTTGCGGTCTGTTTGATTGATATATAAACCCAGTATATCTGAAATAAATGATTCCATTCGATTCGCATATTGGAAGCTGATATTTGGTGTTGTAGACTCAACTGGACAGGCTAGACAGATATGGGACCAAATAAGAAGCTAGGCTGCTCATACCGGTCGAACTTCATTGGTTTGGCAAAGTGTGAAGATTGTATAAGCCGGACATAAAGTCATAACAGAATCTTTTATTTCAACATAACTCTAGTGATTTATACAAATATTATCTATTTGTAATCGAATGCTTCATGTTACCAGGCACAAATCACAACATGAATGCATAAACCTAATTTCAATGTATTGAAAGTATAATTTAATATACTTTCAGTAACTTAAAAGTTTAGAACATACAATTTAGATAAGTTCCTCTTTCATGATGTAATTGCTAGTGTTCATTAATGCATTCACATGCTGTGACATGATAATGATGATTTGATGATAGCAGAACCTTAACTTAATTAAGCTCGATTTCTAACTTAACAGTTTGGATACAAATATTTATAAAAAAAAATCAATAACTTCTAATGAAATAACTTAAAATCAATTGAATGTTAACATACTACAGGTCTTCGTATCTCTCTCAAATTAGTATCCCTTTCAGCTTCTAATGCCATTGCAACAGTAAGAAGATCTAAATTTGTTTCAAATGAATAACGTTGAATTAAACGTAAAGGAATATTTGCTCGACCAATCTATAAAAAGTAGAAGATAAAAGTTAACTGAATAATTCAACATGAACTAACTAAACGTTGATTTAGTTAAACAAGAATTAATATGAAATTTTAAGAGTCTATTGTTTTGATAACTTTAACATTGACAAGGTTTTATTGTACAGGGAACAAAAAACAAATTCTGTCGTTTACATTATCTTGTTTAATTTTCATTGTGAACTTATGTAATAGTGTTGCATGATACATGATCAATGAGTTCTGAAATGAGAGGATATTTCTATATTCAAAGAGGGGTTTTATGGATATCATGATCATTTTAATAGTTGAATTCATGAGTTAATTGAAACTAGACTACCATGGTAAATGTTGAAACACTAGATGGCCGTTTCTACCTTATATAGAACTCCTCAGAGGTGTGCATCCACGATCCTGCCTCATGAGATTTGAACCCAGGACTTATTGGTCTAGCATGCGAGCGCCTAACCTGTAGACTACTGAGTTGGTCGGTATCCTACAGTGATAATGTCTAACTTCAACCAATCCATGAAGTTGCTCCACAGTCCATTATTGTCATTAGTGAGTAAGTATAATATCCACAAAACCCCTTTTGATGTTAATCAACATATGCTCACCAGTAACTGGCTTCAAGAGGTATTTCCTGGAGTTCTAGTGAGTTCAGTGACCAGTGAATTTCAACCGGGTCTGTTGTCAGATAGTAACTCACTGAAGACAGTGATGAATGTGTCGCTCAGTTTCGTGGATCAGATTAAGTTAGACATTAACACTATTGGATGCCGACCAACTCAGTGGTCTAGAGGTTAAACATTCGCTCACGAGACTGATAGGTCTTGGTTTCGCCTCTCGAGAGACGGGCTCGTGGATGCGCACTGCTGAGGAGTCCCACAATAGAATAAAAAGGCCGTCCAGTGCTTCCACGTTTTCCATAGTGGTCTGGCTTCAACTGACTCATGTATTCAGCTATTAAAATATTTCTATTTCATTCTAATTAAGTGTGTTTGAAAATTCACATTCATATATATATATATATATCACCTTTTTAAAAATATGTATAGAATACAACGATTGGTACTATTTATGCTAGACAAATCACATTTTAGTTGAAATAAGTCTTCCAGTACTATCACTAACTAATCACTATCTCATTTGAATTATTCACATAGATGACTGTTATTCCGATAAGAAATTAAAGAAGATTCATAGATATGAACAAATAACAGATTTGTCTGTTTTAGAAAATTTCAAATTATCAGAATCGAGGTTTGTGGACATTGTAGTAACTTAATAGTTGAATACATGAATCGATCTAAGCCAGACAACCATTGAAAATCTGAAAGCGTTGAACGGTCGTTTTGTCCCAGTATGGGACTCATCAGTAGTTCTCATCCACGATCCTTCACCGAAGGGACTCGTACCCAGGACCTTAGAATCCACTAACATCAAAATAAACTTACACAATCACTTAGATAAGTGATGAACTTCAGTCGTTTGTAATACATCTACAACATAAACCTACAAACAGAAAATATCAAAACATTGTTACTTAGCACCTAATAACTGTGAAAATCGGTTTGATATCATGGTAAGACAATCAGGAATGATAAACAATTCGTTTGAAAGTACAAGATAAACAGATTGTGGAAGAGTTGATTTACAAGATTATACATTCGAATCATGATCAATAAAATGGTTAGATAAGTTGATTTTAACACATAGATTGAGATTCCTTGTATAGTTGACAAGTGATTGTGTAGTGAAGAATGTTTGAAGATTCAATATCTCTAACAAGTTCCATTTCATCTTGTGAATGAATTTGAATGGTAAGTCTGTTATGGCAGAATGAACAATTGTTATGATTGAAATATAACTGATATATAACTCAATGTAGAATAGAAGGCAAATTACACAGGTTTCAAATAGAGAATTATTTCATATCTAAACACTAGATTCAAAATTATATTCTACCATTACAGTCATTTATATTCAGATATAATTTGCATTGAATGCAAGATATAATCAAGAAGTTTTCATTCATTTTTTGTATCATCTATAAAAATATCTGAGTATTTCAGCAGGATTTCATTTGTATTCTTTCTTAAGTCAAATTTGGAACATTTAGATACAATCAGAAATGCATTCTTAAATATTTTATCAAGGCGGTTTTAATGTACAAACAGAGTAGTTGTACATTATCAATTCGAAGCATAGATCTCTAACTAGTTGAATCCATTTCAATTATCTGCGGATCATAATAGCTTATATCTTTAATACACACATTATATTTATGATGAGATTATAGTTGACGAACGACCTTTTAGCGATGCTAGACTGACCTTGAGAGTGTGGGGCCAGTGAAATTCAACTGAGCCCTAGCCAAATCATCCAGCAGTTGGGTCATTGATTATCGAACAAATCGTCGATCCTCGTCAAGGTCAAGGACAATTAACGCGCATCAGTTAATCGTATGCCATGGACTGGCCCACGCGACAGTAGTCTTACCTTCGCTTGTATCTACTTTAACTAATATATTTCTGTAATAACGTCCGCTGTGTTGTATAGTCTTCAAAGCATCTATGGTACCTTGATACGTCAATGGGGTAGTCCACGTAAGGTGCTGACCACGAGGTGTGACTTCGACGTTAGCTAGTTTGTCACACCATTCACATCTAACTCGAGTAGGCCTCCAATCATTTCGACATAGATCATCTACGTGTCCATTTAATAACCAGGACCAAATAAGGGTTATAACCCTGTATGAGGAATTAGAATCATAATGTACAGTTGATGAATAAGGTTAGAAATTAGATTTAAGGTGTTCATCACAAACTGACATCAGCTATAATACCAAAACTTTATTTATCCAAATGGATGAGTGAATTTCGTGCCAAAATCCGAGACCTATTATCTTATATGTGATTGGTTGGTTCATAAATTATAGTCTCGCCATATTTATTTGTTCAGTTGATAATTATACACTGAATCAGTACGAATAACTGAGAGTAGTTTATGAAACTCTAAAGGTGTTAAGTTTTGAAACTTAGAGACTATCAGTAAGCAGTGGAATCCAGTAAGCACGTCTCGTCCCACTTGGGACTCGTCAGCCGGACGTACCTGCGCCTCAGAGTTGATGTCCATCCTGCGACTCGAACCCAGTGTAGTGAACAAGAACACGGGTGGGGGGAAATCGGATGTATTTGGCACAATGATTACAGACTATCCCAATAAAATCTGAATACCATATAGTAAATTGTTAATTTGCAAAATATTCATGCATCAAACCAAACTGGACTGTTTCTGTTATAAACACCAATCCATTGTCTCCCATTCCATTGTCCATGCGTTTTCTTACAAATTCCATTGTGTTCTCGCTCTTCCTTTGTTGATCTTCCCTATTTTCTGCTGCCAGACATCACGTTCTTTTAACTCATGTTATATACTACTCATATCAATATAAGTAGCACACACCACACCAGTACCACTCGCTTCAAACGCCATCGCGTTATCCACTCAGCTACTGAATCCCGATAGCCAGTCTCCATCATTGTTTACAAATAGCTTGTGAATTAAGGCAATATCGAGGCATATGCACAGTATGCACATATGCCAATAACAGACTGATCAATTACAGTCTTAAACCTTAATGAGAAGATACAAGCCAAACAATACCAAGTGAATTATAGACTATTATTAAATTGGTTACTTGAATAACTTCATTTAGTATGATAGAAATCATGAAGAAATGAGTGATATAAGGTTCTAGTAGAATGTTGAATCTAGAATACAATTATATTGTATCCAATGAAGACGACAATTAAAAAGAAAACATCTAGTCCCTGAATCAATACGATTATATGATTTTCAAAAGTAACTTATGGTAATGAATTAAATCGATGGGGGGAATTCTAATGAAACAAAATTGGACAAAAACCAATGTAAACTAACTAACCTCATCAGAATATGGTGGTTGAGTAAGATCAATATGTTCAGCATTTAATTTCTTTCTTAATATATGCCTAGCTAAATAAATATGTTGAATGTATACATTCTTTGTATTATCATTTATTGTTTGTATTGTATTAGAGATATGTTGTTGATTATTTTGAGGATACTGTACAAAATAATTGACAGTTGTTGATAGAGTAGAAGTTTGTAATGGTTGTATAGATGTATTCAATTGATTAATTTCTTTTTGTTGTTGTTGTTGTTGTTGTTGATGTTGATGTTTTGATGATAAAAGAAATCGTTCATCAATTTTTACAGTTTTTGGTGTAGTTGATGATGATCGTTTTACATTATCAATATCAGGTTGATTATCTTTTGATAGTCGACTATTTCGTAGAATACTTACTGGATGTTTTTGCTAAATGAATTGAAGGCAAACAAAATTTATGAAAGTCAAATGTTGAATACATTTTATAGATTATTAATAAAGTATATAAATAATGGAAACAGTTTTTCTGTGAATACAACTAATCACTAATTTAAGTAATCAATAATAAAGCTTAAAAAAGTACTTCTGTGTGTACCGCTGGCAACTTTGAATCAAATGGAGTTCAATTTGTATTTCAATCAATAATATTGTTAATGAGTTGGTTGTTTCAAGCTTTTTAATGATTTTACTATTAGTTACAAAATATTAAACATTTACATTGAGAACTACTGAGACACCACACTACTAGCGGTACCAGGAAAGCTTTTCAACAGAGTGTTGTTGAACTGGATGAAAGATTCAGTAGACATCAAACTTCGAGATCAACATAATGGATTCCATAAGGATAGATCGTGAACAGACCGAATCGCGACACTACGGATCATCGTTGAACAATCAATTGAATGAAACAGGTCACATTACATCAACTTCATTGACTGAGAGAAAGTATTTGACAGCGTGGATAGAAGAACATTATGGAACCTTTTTCTTGGACACAATGTAGTGGGTAGCTGATAAAATTGTCAACATCATCCGGAATTCATACGACGGACTACCCTGCAAAGTGGCACATGGAAGACAACTGACAGATGCATTCTACGTGAGGATCGCAGCTAAACAGGGCTTCCTACTCTCCCACTTCCTCTTCCTTCTGGTGGTTGACTGGGTTGTGAAGACCCTCACATCTGAAGGGAATCACGGACTACAATGAACAGTTTGGATGTAACTAGAAAATTTGGACTTCGCAGATTACCTGACCCTTCTGTCTCATGCACATCAAAAAATGCAGATGAAGCCAACTAGTGTAGGATCAGCTTCTATATCAGTAGGCTTCAACATACACAAGGGAAAATGAAGATCCTCATATACAACACGGAGAACACCACACACTATCACACTTGACGGAGGAACTGTGGAGGATATGGAGTCTTTCACGTACCTGGTCAGCATAATCGATTAACAAGAACACACTATGTCGGGCATTGGTAGCAGATATGAAAAGGATGAATAGCAACTGGAAAGAACAGGAAAAAACTTTCTAGAACAGAGTTTGGTACAGAATGTTAGTGGGTGACCTATGCTGCTCTATGAGAGCAACAGGCGTAATTAAGTAGGTAAGTTTGTGCATCACTATCTGGCCAAGTATTCGGTGTCTCATATTCTGCATAGTTCTTCTTCGTCAACCACTTCAGAAATACTGATTGCTTTCCATTAGATCTTGTGAGATGCTCATTGCAAATCAGATAACTAAATATTAGTACAAGCCATAATACTCATCTGAGATATTTTTGAGAAGCCGAGGACAAATAAGTAGTTTGAGAGCTCAATCAACTTTCAAGTACTCATTGGTTTTGCAACGCATCTTCAGCTATCACTCCGTGATGCACAAAATCTTTAGACTGTCTGATTCTTCCTATCATACCAAATCTTTAGAACTTTAGTTGAAGCAACAAAAAAAAATAATCTTTACTACCAATAACATATGAGAAAGACAACTCTACCTCTTATTGTTAACCGTACATCTTTGGAGTAGTTTAGTACATTCAGAAAGTACTCTGGATTAGAATGTGGTTGCTATGTAAAACATATTGAGTTTTTCAAAAGTTTCACACTTTTATCAATAATAGGTAGTTAGAATAAAACGTTGAATTATTTTGAAAAGAAGTAAACTTACTGACTGACATTGCATTTCACCAAATACTCTGGAAACTATAAATGAAAAAGTAATATTGTATTGTAATATATTTTCAAAAGATAGAAATTAATATAAGATATTAAAAATGTTGTTAATTGTCAGGTTATAGTTAAACTACAACTGACACTGTAAATAACTGTTATAACAATGATCAAAATGACTTAATTGTTGAGTACAGGTGATAAATACTTAATATCAGAAGGGGTTGTTTGTGGATATGATAGTAATTTTAATAGTTGAGATCATGAGTCAACTGATGCTAAACCACTATGGAAAATCTGGATGGGTGTTTTGTTCCATCGTAGGACTCTTCAGCAGTTCGCACATACGAGCCCGTCTCGCGAGAGGCGAAACCAGGATCTATCAGTCTCGTGCGCGAATGCTTAACCTCTAGACCACTGAGTTGGTCGGCATCTAGTGGCTTTAATGTCTAACTTAAACTGATCCACGAAGCTGAGCGACACATCCATCACTGTCTTCAGTGAATTACTATCTCACAACAGACCTGGTTGAACTCCACTGGTCACTGCACTCACTAGAACTCCAGGAAATACCTCTTGAAGCCAGTTACTAGTGAGCATATGTTGATTAACATCAGAGGGGGTTTTGTGGAGATTATAATAATTTTAACAGCTGACAACATGAGTCAAATGAAGCTAGACCACCATGGAAAACCTGGAGTTTCACAATAGGACAAAACGGCCATCCAGTGCTTCTCGCCGTACCATATAGATTTCACTCTCTGAAGCACAAACCTATCCATTGAAAAATTCTCACAGATAGGTTGTGTGCGATCGGCCTCAAGTATTTGTCTCTTGGGCTCTGAAATCACGCTTCCAGGTCACTACGGTTTCCTTTTCAGTCTCCTCAAGAAGACATATGCTTCCACGGTATGGTCAGCAGGAAAGAGATAACCACCTTCCTACTTCTAACAGCACTGGAAATCCTCTTGTTCATTAACAGAAATAATTAACTGAAGGTTCTGTTTTATACTGAAAGGGTTTCTGTATTTTGAATGACTTCCAGACCAAGGTAAACAGAATAGATAGGTGAACAACCACAGCAATTTAGATATATCTATGTCTGAACATAATAATTGTTTTTGCCATTTGTCATCAATAAGGTATGTTTTCATGCTGAGATCGTACACCTTAACACTTAACCTCACAGATAAGATCGTTAAAGACAACCGCTTTTTGACACTGAGACATCCAAAACTAGATGAGGCTTTGGATAATAATATGGTATTTAGTTTGACAGCAATGCATCCTGGTATCAAGAAGACTAGTTAGTGATGTGTTGCATAGCAGATTAACCAGATTATTACTAAATGATGAATCCATTTTTCTGTCGCATCAGCTAATAGTCATCTTTTTAATAAGTTCATTAAATACTTACCATTTTGAAATGAGTTCTTATCAGAGTTTATTGTTTGATAAGATCCAACGTTTTGTCTGATTGGCATATTTAAGTTGATTTCTTCATATGAGGTCATTTTAACAGAACCATTATGTTCAGTAGGCATTTGTTGACCATAACCCCATCTAGGCAAAAGGAATATAAAAGTTCACGTTAATCATTTTATCAGCTGAAATGGTTCCAATTTTGTTCCTAAACCAGAGATATGTTTGTCTTATGCTTAATCAATCCTTGGGAACAATAATAATTTAAACTTGTAACTGTAGAAATTGATAAGAATTTTTCTTGAAATGAATATTGTTCTCTCATAACTCTGTGTTGCAATGTTTCATTTCCAATACTTAGAAACTAAGTATATATGTTTAGTGAATTCTGTCTGTAATTTTGGCCTGGTAACTAGCTAAACAGTACTGTTAAGAGGAGACAACGAAAACGGTAGAGTTTACATACACTTAATCGCTGAGTATCCAGAGCGTTAGTAACGTTATAACTTGCAGCCAACGATAAAGCCAGTCTTTCGAACAGTTGTTTACAAATGAAATTGCGTTACACAGAGTAAATTGTGTGGCAGCATGATGATGTCTTGAATCAATACTTGTTGTTCATAAATAGGATAGAGCACCGTTACAACTATGCAGGATTTTTAAACAAAAAACTTTGATGAAGAATACATGCAATCAGGAGGATGAGTAAACACGGTTTTAGAATGTAATTAGAACAATAAAATAGATCATAACGTCAGAGATGTGTAGAAATGTTTGAAAAGAGAGGCACATAGCAATAAACATATCAAAAGTAATACTTTCCGCAATAATAGATAATCACATAAACTACTGAATATTAATGAGTAATATAGTAAATACACATAAAAAGGGTGAGCAAAGAAATGAAGATGATTGGGATTGGTCTACTGGAAACCCTGGTGGTAACATTGAAATTGATCAATGGAATTCAACCAGCACTAAAGAAAGACTTGACATAGATGACAACGGTCACTACTCAATAGTCACTCATTTATAGACAACAATTCTTATCTGTTTTGTCATATAGTTTTGAACCACCTAAAACAATCATTCTCACTATCACAATCTTGACTATGCTCAAATACCCAAACATTATCAATGTTTGATCTTATTTTAACTGAATATGTCAGATAATAAACGTACTGATTATAAACATGATCTAATCTTCAATTAGTTATATTATAAATGGCAAACTTATAATTACTGTATCAAGAAGTGTCAGTTAGATCGTATGTGATTACCATCAAATCTATACATACATCTTTATGTGAAGTGATTAAACGAAGAAGTTCAATTTGATTTTGTCTCAGAAACAAAGCACTCATCATCAAAATCTTTAAAGTAAGAAACCTATATGAACATCAATCATTGACAAATTTCACTCAGTAATATATTAGTCATTTCTTGAGTAATTAACACATGTAAATATACTCCATGTAAACATTACCGTGATTGATATTGTTCCATTCGTTCGGATTTACCAGATGTAATTCCTTCAAGATGACTTGTTGATTCATTATTATTATTACTATTAGTATTATTACAAAAATTTGTATATTGTGGTTTATATGTTAAACATGAACTAGTAATATCTGTTCCACTTGAGATACCGGAATCATGAATATTTTGAGTATCGTATAAATCTTTTGAATTTTTTCCAAATGATCTATTCAACGTTCTATGGAATAATGAAGGATCTTTTATATTGATAACAAGAAAAAAATATAATAAGAATATGAAAAGTTATTACATATTCAATGAATTGTTTAAACAGTTGGAATAAACAAACATTTGAATATACCTCAAGATATTGTTTCATAGTTCAACAGTGATTAAACTATTATCATCATTGACATTTACCCCTTATATAAGTTATAATTGTCTAGTGGAGTTCAACCAGGTCTGTTATGAAATAGTAATTCACTGATGACAATGATGGACGGTGGCGCAACATTAACACCGTTAGATGCCGGCCAGCTCAGTGGTCTACATGTTAAGCGCTCGCGCACGAGACTGATGGGTCCTGGGTTCGAATCTCGTGAGGTGGGTATTTTATTTATTTATTTTAACACATATATATTGGTACAAAGAAGCACCAAATATATATGCGCCACACAAATCTCATTCGATATGTGTGACGGCTATGATACTGCCCGGGTGCCAAAACCGAAGCAGGTGGTTTTCTTAGGGGGCCACTACCCGAGCCTTTGACCTGAAGGTCTGATCCACAAGGCAGTGGAGCATCGTAAGGAGATGCAGTCCTATGGAAGCCAGTGACCAACAATTGGTTCATACGCCATTTGTTCCTGCAGGATACTGGAGCCCATGTGCACCATTGATTTGGTTTGGGATCCGGTTAAATCGCCGGGCATTCGCTTTTCGTCCTCTCATTTCCGTAAACAACAGCAACGCCACGAGAAGGCGGTGAGTAGGACGTGCCTGGCAGAGGCTGTATACGCGTGGCCATGTGAGAGCATTTTGAGAGGGAGAGCGGACTTTCCCCACTCTCGGCCGTACTAGGGCATTTGGGTTCATGGATGAGTACTTTTGAGGAGTCCCATGATAGGGCAAGACAGCCGTTCAGTGCATTGAGGTTTTCCATGGTTGTCCAGCTTCAACTGACTCATGAATTCGGCTGCTAAATTACTATAATATACACAAAACCCCTCTCTGATTAAAAATATTTTTGATGAGTTGTTTTACTAATACACACTTCTAACACATGAAATACTCCCATAAAAATTGTACAGAATGATCAATATGAGATCTTTAAAAATAAATAAGAATAAAAAATTCTTGTTTTTGGTTATCTTGTTACGATGACATTTTGTCATAAACGTATTTGCTTATTGTGAGGAAGCTCCAAGAAGTTTAAAAAGAGCCGAAGATATTCCATCCAATCATCTTTTAGAAGAACATTCCAGAATCTCGACGTGTAGCTTCCCTATTTGGCAAATGCTAAAAAACCACTGTATGTGGATTGGATAACTGTAATGATGTTTTTGTTTGTACTAAAAACTATAAATATCTTAGAATTTTATACCGTATTTGACACAGGAATATCATTCCTTCTTACTCGTTTTCGGTCTTCTCACTTGCGAATTGGAGGGTTCTAGTGTTTCAGTGCTCAAATAGTACGCGGTATAGCAAAAATCTAAGGTCTAGATATAACATTTATGATATGAAGTTATTCTCTTTGTATTTACTGAGAAGAATTATAGTGAGTTTACAGACGATTCATAATAAAGTATGTCATTCATTGCTCAGCATTGTTTCAGTGTTCATCAATACACTGATCAGAGTTTTAAACAGTTTGCGGATTAACCAGTAAGATTCAGTATGTCACTTTTTCACATAAAATAGATAAACGACTGCTTGAAGGAAAACACTTTGATTATTATTCCATCACAGAATTGCAGCATGTATGATTTATACTTCGTAATGGTTAACGTAAGTTTTCACTAATTTAAGAATCGATCAGCAGACAATGCACAGGTTATAATACTTCTTGGTTTTCTCAACACATTTCGAAAACTTTATCGGTTGCTTTCAGTGTCCATGCGTTCACTAGCCGACAGAATACGGTCTTGGGGGAACAACTCCTTTTAAACAAGATTTTAGGTAGAATGACGGGGTTCGGGAGACTGTAGAGTTTTCATAGTTTAAATAGTGAAATGATCTAATTTAAACCATCATTGAAAACCTGAAAGCACTTTATGAACGTCTCACTCTAGTATGGAACTCATCAACAGCGCACACCCACGACCTTGAACGTGGGGATCAAACTTGAGACCTTAGATCTCTTACATAAACACTTAACCTCTACGCCACCGAGACGACGTCTGAAGGCATTGTTGCATAACATCAATCAATACACGATATTCTCCAACTCTCATCCATGACGTGCGGTGAATAAGTGTCTCTGTATTAGTTGTTACAAAAGGATTTTATATTTCACCACTAAACGTTTAGTACTATTAATAGATTAATACCAAGAGTGTATCTGTGTGTGAATGTGAATCATTTCACTCAAATGTCATAACCAACCGATTTTAAATAAAAAACAGTGGAGGTAACAATGTGATCATCAATAAATTTAAATGTCCTAAATGTACTCCTAAATGGAATTGAAGTTTTCTCTAAAAATCCATCGACTACAACAGAGCACTTATCCAGAGGTTTCAAGTTTACTGATTTGGTTCTAATCGTTGAATCGTATACTAAATTCATAGAAAATAATCAATCAAGTAACTATTATGTTCACTGACTTACTTAACCATGAATCTGTAAGAAGCTGAGCAGCTGTCATTAATGTAGCTCTCGTCTCAGCATCTGTAACACCCATTTCAATTAATTCATTTCTAGTCAATTTGCTTAATCGATCCACATCTACAACTCCATGTTCCAGTAGACAAGGCCAAACGGACTATTACAATAAATTATAATGAAGTAACAATTATTCATTAAATTCTTTGCTAAATTATTAATGTATATGTGTAAAAATGGTAATTTTTGACAACATTAACTTTATTAGTAATCGATATGCAGTCGACAAAATGTCCTGGCAGATGACAGCTTCATATACGATAACAATTATCGAAAAAGAGTGAACAAAAGCTCTTCAACTTTCATGAAATGATCTTAGCAACTGGCATAGTAAGAGATGTTATCACACACTTGAGAAATTCCCATCTGACTCTACATTAGATTGAATTGAAATAAGCAGACCCCATAGTACCAGTATTCTCTTTATTCCTAAGCAATGATGAATTTCATTAATCGACCATGCTGAGTGACTTAAATGATCACCGTATTATAATGAGTGTTTATTTTCACAGAAGATAGATGGGATTGTTCTAAACTAAAGTTTCTATAACTCGATTTACCACCCTCACCTCAATGTACACTAAAGTCAATGAGCTTTTGACATTTTGTGTAATACATTTTGCTTACAATACAGATTTTTTTCTCGATTGGTTACAATAAGTTGGTAATTCAATAGTATTAACTTCAATTTCAGCATTTTCTTAGCTTGTTACGTAATCCATATTCATATCTAGATTTTATGGAATTTGTGACTGATTTTCTTTTTTTTTTTGCTTGTTAAGTTTCCGTTTTCATTCTTTTCATAATGGCAACACTACTACTACTACAACTACCAATGATAACTGTAACCATAACAATGATAACACGTTGAATACTTTGGCCAACTTTGTTTTCATGTTACATGAATCAATATATTTTATTCACATTATAAATAATTAAAAACATTGAATGTCTCATATAGACTGTGATATATAAGCTACCTTAAATAATAAGATATATCTTTCAGATTTATACGAGATAGTTCCTGTAAAATTATTTGTACAAATGAAATGTAAAGATGGATAGTGGCTAGTAGTGGAATTCTGGACGCGCGTTTCGTCTTATTTGGGACTCATCAGCTCGATGTACCTGCATCCCAGAATCGATGTTCACTCCGAAACGGTACTGGGTTCGAGTCGCGAAGTGAACATCAACGCTGAGATACAGGTACATCTAGCTGACGAGTCCCTAATAGGACGAAACGCGCGTCTTGGATTCCACTGGTAGCCACTATCCATCTTTGCTTAAAAAGCTTGTGACTTAAAGCACTATCGAGGCAATTCAAACTGGATGCACATATACCAATAAGAGACTGATCAATTGCAATCCTAAACGTCAATGGGAAGATACAAGTAAAACAACACCGAGTGAATTTAAATGAAATGTAAATTAAGCAAATCAACTGGCGTCTTTCATTTATCATATATATTTCTCTTTGTATTATCAACAAACCTGTTTCAGTGATGTAAATTCTTGACTGTAACGACTGCTGAAATTCAGATGTCTAAATCACTTAAACACAATTTCTTTTTTACAAAACTTATTCCTGTAAAAAAAATATAATCAAAGTAAAATGTGTTCTTTTGATGTAAGTTACTTATATCGACATAAGTAGTATAAAACATGTGTAAGGAATCGAATATTTGGCAGCAGCACATTGGAAAAGGAAGAACGGGAATAGAAAGCAATTCGTATGAAAATGTAGGAACAATGCAGTTTGGGACAATTAATGAATATTTCACAAATGAAATATGGTTTTTCTATTTTACCAAGTAACTCTGTAATTTTGTGTATAGTTTAACACTGTAACCTAATTTACAGGTAACTTACTATCGCTTCAACTATGAGCATAGAATAGATGTTAAGATTTTGATCAGTTAATTAAAGAATAGGTAACTATAAAATGTTTCAAGTAACATTTCATCAAGTAAATAACATTAAAACTTTGTTTCGGCACTCTGGTAGGTGTTCACGAGCATTAATTAACATTAAATTACTAGATCATTTTGTCTATTGATTTGAATCATGAAAGTAAATTGTTGGATTATTGTTTTCATGTATCAGTTCAATTCTATGGTGGTTGGAGGTAGTCAACAGGAAACCCTGGACCCGGGTTTCGTGCTACTTGACACTCGTCAGCAAGGTGTACCTGTAATCTTAAGGGGACTGGTTCTCCCTGGCGGATTCGACCTCGTGTCACTCATCTTCACAGTCAGAGACGTTACCACTGAACTATCCGAGCCGCCATGGAGCACCAGTTCCTTCAAGATTACAGGTACACCTTGCTGACGAGTGCCGAGTAGCATGAAACCCGGGTTCAGGGTTTCCTGTTGACTACCTCCAACCACCATCTAAATCTCAAGATATACTGCCCGCAGTGTCGAGTCACCTAGACTGGTGGCCACATTGCAACATGATCGATAGCATTCGATCTGCACTAATAATGACTAGACAAGCATGAGATTGATCACCACCCAGTGATCAATCAATTGTGAGTTCAATTCTATCATCTTTGATCAAACAGTAAAATCAAAGTAATTTGTTTATTAATATTTGGTAAGATTCTATTGATTTCAATAGAATATCAATTATTGTAACCACAATAAGGTATAATTAAGGAACAATAGTTTATGTAGATAATACACTTAAGTCTTTCATGAATATTTAAGTTGAAAGTTCACATTTAAGCTTAACTGTTTTTGAAACCTCAACAGTTTGTTTAGTTTTAATTGTTCTCCAAAGAGAGGAACTATTTACAATGTAATTTTTGTAATTTATCACATTGGTAAAGTCAAAAACGGAGATGAGAAAAGGGAACGAAAAAAAAGTTAAGTAACTATGTTCTTGTAGTATACTAAACAGACCTCCAAATTTGAAAAAAAAACAATATAAAATTTTATCAGAATGAGTTTTGTGGAGATTTTAGTAAATTTCACAGGGTTCGAATCCTGCGGGGGGCGGGTTCGTGGATGCGCACTGCTGAGGAGTCCCATACTAGGACGAAACGGCCGTCCAGTACTTCCAGGTTTTCAATGGTGGTCTAGCTTCAACTGACTCATGATTTCAACCTGTGAAATATAAAGTTTTGACGGAATCGTGTTTATCCTATTTATCCAATATACCTTCTTTATCATATCTCAATTCATCCAGTTGGATTTTTCAACTTAACCAACAAAGTTAGTAGAAACTGAATCAATGAAGAAGGGTTCACAGTGGTTAGATATCAAAAAGGATTTCTACATATATCCATTGAAATATAGTTCCCCTTAATTCATTCTCTTTATATTTAAACATGGGATTTTACAGTATATTAGTTATGTGCATGATTTGTAAAAATAATATTGTTTATAATGAATTACCTGTATCCCAAGACGTTGCATTAAACATAGTAATGTTGATTCAGAGTATTTCACTTTATTAGTAGTAAAGCAAGATGATCCTAAATTTTTGTGCTCATCATTTTTAAATTCAGTATGAAGTGAATTTGAATGTACTGTAATATTGAATGGTTTTGAACTAATTTGTTCTGTAACTTGATCTATTGTTGATGCATTAGGAATAAGTGGTAATGTTTCATATGTATCAATTGTAGGACTACTTGGTGCTGATTGACTAACATCTGATTGATATGGTGAATTAACAAGTCCATTATGTGTACGACTAAAGAATGGACCACAACGAAATATCATACCTTGACGTTTACGCCAATTTGTTTGTGATGTTATTTTACGAAAACATTTTCTTGAATCTTTTCTATATTGAAATTTCATTGAAGATATAGGACCAGGTGTTTCATTATCACTGCTATTTGGTGATGTTGGAGCTGAAGAAAGTACTTCTTTTCTTGCTAAAATGATGTCAAAGCAATAAAAATATTGAATTTAGGTTAGTAACTTAGTATTTTCCTTTTTGAATGTTCTATATACTTTGAATTGAAAAGCTTCATCAATGAATTTTAAGAAAAAGTATTTTACTTTTATTGTAAGAACTATAAGAAAATAATAACGATTGTGTAAGGCCTGAAGCATTTACATATGAGGTATTCAGAAAAGAAAAAAAAACAATATGTCATACTGAACTATGTCTTTGAAAAAACTTGTACTCCATTTAAAAGAGTTATCCAAGTCGAAGAACCTTCAGTCTGGAAAATCGAGTTACTTTTCAAGTGAACTTAGAATAATGTTTGTGATCCCGAAGTTTTTGAAAGTTTTAGGTATTTCAAAGTTGTTTCGTTTACTACCTGATATGATCTGAATAAATATCTATGATATAAGAAACATGATCTATGAAAGATAGTTAATCATAAAATGATGTTATATTCTAAGCATAAACGGATATTGGCTAGTAGTGGAATCCATAAGGCGCGTTTCATTCTATTTGAGAATCGTCAGCTGGATGTAACTGCATCACACAGTTGATGTTTACTCTGAGACTCGAACTCATAACCGTTCGCTTCAAACGCCATCGCCTTATCCACTTAGCTACCGAGTCCTGATGGCCATTTGCTTGTGCCATTGGGTGGAGTTTAAATTTACTTGGTGTTGTTTTACTTGTGTCTTCCCATTGATGTTTAGGATTGCAATCGATCAGGCTCTTATTGGTATATGTGCATCCAGTTTGGACTGCCCCGATATTCCCTTAAGTCACAAGCATTCGAAGCAAAGATGGGTTCGAGTCCCGGAGTGAACATCAACTCTGAGATTCAGGTACATCCGGCTGACGAGTCCCAAATAGGGCGAAACGTATGTTCTGGATTCCACCACTATTCAACGTTACTTAGAATGCTCGTGAATTAAAGCAATATGGAAACCAGGAAAATATAATATTTTATACATCTTGTCTCAATTTTTTAGAATAACAGTTGTTAGGATTTAGAAAACATTGATGGAGAAATTTGTTTAACAACACATCGGCTAATCTGACCATAAGCAGTATCACTATAATATAAAGAAATCATGTATTCGGGGAATAGACCAATGAGAATCCAAGCGATCTAAATTATCACGAAAGTTCCAGGAGATAGAACATTAGAAGTTTCATAATTCATGCTAAAGGAAACCACAGAAGCATCTGTGCTAATGCTGCTAGTTTTATATTTTACCAGCTTTAAGTTATATAGTGTTATTCTGAATTCCTTGACGAATTCTAATGGATGAAGCCAATGGTTACTTAATGTTTTTTTTATTGAGGTCATGAACTGATTGATGTTAGACCACCATTGAAACTTGGAAGCACTGGACGGCCATTTCTCCCTATCGCGGGACTCTTCAGCAGTGCGCATCCACGATCCCGCCTCGCGGGATTCGAACCCAGGGCCCTCAGTCTCGCACGCGAACGCTTAACCTACTGGACCACTGAGCCGGCATGCAATGGTGTTAATGTCTAACCTCAACCAATCCACGAAATTGCGCGACACATACATCATTGTCTTCAGTGAGTTACTATCTCACAACAGTCCTGGTTGAACTCCACTGGTCACTACTTCTCATTAGAACTCTAGGAAATACCTCATGGTGACCGTTACTAGTGAGCATATGTTGATTAACATCAGAAAGGATTTTGTGGATATGATAGTAATTTTAGTAGTTGAAATCATGAAGCTAGACAATCATGGAAAACCTGAAAGCACTAGACAACCATTTTGTCCTAATATGGGACAATTGACTCATGACCTCAACTATCAGAATTACTATAATATCCACAGAAAACCTCTTCTGAAATTGAAAATTCTTATAAATTCATTTTACATTTCTCAAAAGTTCACAGTCATTACTCTACACAGTATTACATGTTTGATCTTGAGAATCAACAGTGTGAAATTGAAATCTTCATTAGTGAGATTATAATTTATGAATGACATTTGAGCGACCCCTGAGTGACCTTGACAGTGTCTACCAAAATGAGGATTATAAACCAGTGTGGGGAATTAAAGTTATGATTTGCAGTTGATGGTTAAGGTTAGGGTTTTCATCACGAACTGATATTAGTTAAAGCGATAAAATTCTATTTAATCATATGGATGAGTGCGTTTCACGCCAAAATCCGAGACCTGTTACCTGACTGGTTACATGACTGGTTCGTCTAGAAATTATAATCTCGTCACTTCATGAAGTTTCTTCATCTTAATCGATTATAATTGAATAATTCAACTTACAAATAAGAATTATATTATGTTTTTTTCAACTAGAAAACTATCTAGAACTGTGTTTCTTTCTTTATTGTGAAGGATTAAAAGGATTAGTAATAGGAACAAGTAACTAAAATTCAAATTGATCAATCAATAAATAAAAAATTTGTAATCAGGCACATTCACATATGGTATACAGACTATGATGAATCAATGTAACCGTATTGAAACCAAGAGAGAGAGAGAGAGAGGGAGAGGGATAAAGTGAGAGAGAGGAAAGTAAGAATGAGACACACGGGAGTATGATAAAGATAGAATGAAATAATTTACCATATTGTACCATATACTATTAGTCAAAATAACATTAATGATTAAAATGATACTGATAATCGAATAGACATAATGAACACACACAAGTACATTTACATTTACAACTGGCAAATATTTTATTCCTGCGCAATTTTTATTATTATTATTATTATTAGTAGTAGTAGTAATAATAATAATAATGACTATGATTCTCCTATGTGTGATTTAATGGAATCTCCACATACACATATGTAATAATGCCAATAGGAATAAGCATAGAAACGAAAAATATTGACTAACATAGTAACAATAATAATAATAATAATAATCATTGGTACATTGAAGTAATTCAACATACGAACTGACTTGTTGAATATTTAGACCGAAAAAAACACAACAATCTATGTACATGAATAAGTTAGTTACATTGTTGATGTATGTTGATACCTGATTTAATTTATATAGACAGTTTATTAATAAAATAGGTCAAATAGCTGTTATGTATTTAGATCTATTGAATTCTTCTTCAATAGTTCACTTGTATGTCATATCTATAGATAGATAGATAGATAGATAGATAGATAGATAGATAGATAGATAGATAGATAGATAGATAGATGTATATTACTTGTTTATTTCATAGGATTTGTTTTGTGTATTGTTGTAATTGGGATTGTAAAAGAGATCAACAATAGCAACAACAACAACAACAACAGAAAATGTAATGTTTACATGAGTTAGTAATAATGTAATAGAATGTAAGGGGTGGGGTTTGGGTGGAAAGAGGGTAATAATAATAGAGTGATATGATGATTCAGTAATAATGAATATCTAACGGAAAAACCGGTAATCAAAATCCATAGTAATAATAATAATAATAATCATAAATGTTGAAAGCAAAATAAATTACAATAACTCACATCAAATTATTTAATGTTTATAATTCAAACTATACAAGCTAATATGGATTGATGATGAACTAATTTGGAAGGTGTTAAATGAACAGTTTTATTGAACTTACAGAATAGAATCAATAATTACGTTGTATTGAACAATCAATTAGTGAATAATGAGAGAATACAAGTCAGTTTAACATTGAACTAAAATTCTAAACTCTATCAGATTCTATATAGAGATATGGGTGGAACTATAATATATGGACGACATTTGAGTTGGGCAACAGTGACTTTGAAAATGTTAATTTACTTACTGAGGTATTAATTAGTGTGAGGAATTAGGATTACGATTTAATGCTGGACGTTAGGGTTAGGAATTGAATTTAGGGTTTTTTTTATTAGGAACTGACGTCAACCATAATGCTAAAATGCTATTTAGCCAAATGGATGGATGAATTTCCTACCGAAATCCAGGACCTGTTATCTTAGATATGATTTGTTCGTCCGTAAGTTATAGTCTCGCCGATTTATGGGAATTACACTTAACAACAACCTTACCATCACAAACCTATTAATATTATATAGACTTCATATGCGTACACTTCAATATTATTTGTAGTCATATTCTTATTAAATTTATTTTTAATCAGAGAAGGAATCCACTGTAACTCTCTAGGATTGAAAGACATTGGATACACAGTTTAATTCTTAGTGAGAATTCAAACATGTTTCTAACTGGAAAATTCCAAAATGTACTACAGAATTGTACTGCTATCTCACACAACGTGACATCAGAATAAATTATAAATAATTATTTTAATCAGTGAACGAATAATCTAATTGTTCCTGCTTAATTTTCAACTGAAATCAATTTATCACATAAAACACTTTTTCATTTCATTAGAATAGGGATTTGTGGAGATTGTAGTAAATTTAATAGTTGAATTCATGAGTCGATCTAAGCTAGACAACCATTGAAAATCTGGGAACACTGCGTGGCCGTTACGTCCCAATATAGAACCCCTCAGCAGTACACAATAACGGTCTCACACATGGGACTCGAACCCAGGACCTTCGTGCTCACGTGCGAATGCTTAACCTCTAGACCACTACGCTAGCATCCAATGGCGTTAATGTCCGGGACCATAGGTCTTGATTTTGAGTTTCACATACGGGATAATGGATGCACACTGCTGAGGAGTCCCCCACTAGAACAAAACAATCATCCAATGCTGCCAGATTTCCAGTAGTGGTCTAGCTTAGATTGACTTATGAATTCAAAGTCTTCATTTGTCAGAAATTATGTTTTTAGAAGATTCAGGTCAGTATTATGACTGAACTATAATGACATTGAATATTCACAGAACTAATTCGTTCAATTAACCAGTAACTTCAAAATAGTCAAATATTCATTATGTCATAGACTGTCAAATAATATAACTTAAGAAGTGTTAATCATATAAAAATGTTAAATCATTCAAGTGATTTTATTACTTTCAACAGAGTACGACACTCAAGTAAATATCTAAGCATCTATTATTATTATTATCATTATTATTACTTTTATTCAATAAAATATTTTTGGCACAATATAGAATTCTCAGCGCAAAGTATTTCAGTAAGTTTCCGTTTCTTTCTTCTTGGTTGGTCCTGGCGATATATATTGGGTAATCGCCAGTTAGATGTTAGCAGTCCAGTAAACGAACATCTGAATAATGTACATTCTTTTCGTTGTATATTGCCAGCAACCACATTCTCTCTTATTGAACTTTTTGTAACTTTGACAACGAAAGGTTGTACACGTTTCAGAAACGCACCAGGATAGCTTATGCGATTAATAGACATAATGATATATTAAAACAAACAAAGAAGCAGATAACTTGTTGAAATATCTAGATGGCAGGAACAGGTAGCCCAGATGCTCAAACAGGTCGCCCAAGTTGGTATTCGGATTATAGTCTATTGTTGAATTTGTAATTAAACCATTCAATGAAAGAAACTTCATATTGGAGAAAAAATTGGATTTTAACTAAAGAAGTAAATAATTATTCATGCTGACTCTTCTCTTCTCAGTTTGACCGATGCTAAAGTATGAAGTGACTGAATTTCAATGTCTTAATAACATAACTATATATAACATAGTTGTAGAATATTAATTCCCGTAAAAAGTATCGTGTTTAAATATAGAAAGTATTTATTATATTAACTGCTTGACAACCGTTATTAAACTGGCCTCCACCCGATGCTCTTTCTCACACTCCCCCCCCTCGCACCCGCGAAAAATAGAATGTGAGATAGGAAGAATATGAAAAACTAACTTACAATTAAGAAACAAGACCAATGGTTTTGTTAATTCATGATTAATTTCACAAGGATTTTGTAAATTGCTTGTATCAACCATTTGTAACTCGGTTTGATTAATTGTATTCATTATTGATTCATTTGATCAAGAATTCAATGAATATTTTTCTTTAAGTTTTCTTCTTTAAAGAAATTTAATTTCTCATTATCTAATGAATAAGCAAGGAAAACATGTTGAAATGAGTAATATCGACTGAATTCATAATAAAATGAATAACTACCATATCGAATATACTCTATTTATGTTTCAAGACTTAATATTCTGTGTATTACAATAAGACGTCGAAGTGATTCATCAGCCAGAAAAATCATTTCCATGAGTATTTTCAACAGTAAGAACAAACAAAGATGGTTGGTGGCCAGCAATGAAATCCAGCACTCGCGTTTCGTTCTATTTGTGGCTCGCCCGCTGGACGTACCTGCATATCAAAGTTGTTGTTTACTTCAGGACTCGAACCCAGTATTGTTCGCTTGTGAATTAAGGCAATATCGAGGCAATCTACACTGGATGCACATATACCAATAAAAAACTGATCCATCTCAGTGTTAAACATCAATGGGAAGATTTAAACAAACAATACGAAATAAAGTAAGAATAAACGTCTTCATAAACTGAACACCCTTTAAGAGATTGTTCGAACTGTTGTCTTTTCAAAATCGTTATTTACGAATTATTATATCACGTTTGCCAATGAGCTCAACTTATATTAAATTAATTAAATAAGAATATTTCTTCCAATATAAAAGACTGTTCTCTTTTCTAAACCTGATATTAGTAGGATCAAAAAGGAACAAAGATATATAATACGGTCTGATTATATCATTAACATAAATGATAAATAAGGGTAATTATTGATGGTACTAATTGCACTACTATATTGCTATTACATAAGTTTATCAAATGGTATCACTAATAACACCAACCGGTATTCGATGTATCTATGACTGTTAGTAGGTAGTTACAAAAACATTGGATGTGACTATTTTCAACTGGACGATATAGAAAAATGGAAAATGAATGATTCTTCAGAAAAAAAAACTTGAAGTTCGCTGTTAAACTGTTGAACAACTGTTCATAAATAAAGAACATGTTTGGGGCTAATTACAATGTAAGGAGACTGGTAATATTCTTCGTTTTTTTTTAACACATAATTTATCATGGATCAGGTTCAGACTCCAATCAGGTAATCTACAACTGCCAGCCAATGACTCCATAGAATGAAGCTATGTCTTGATTGAGTCACCCTTAGCTTTCTTTCAACCTACTATTACACCGGCTAACAACCCATGGTGAAGCCTGTGGTTTGATTTCAGTAATATGTGTCCTAAGCACTTCATTCGATGAAGATTCAAAATCACAACAAGCGATTTGTGATCTCTGCACAGTGTCCTACTCCTAACCTAAACAATACTCACTCAGTTGTTCATCTACTATAACCACTGAGTGATAAGTTTACTAAAGCCAGCTTTCCAGATATTGATGGAGTTTTGTTCTCTGAGCTAGATGGTTTGGTTGTGGAGCTTTCATCGTTCTTCTGAACGACGTCATCAGCACAAACTTCAGCTAGAAGTGAGCTACAAATCTTCTCCATCATCAGCTTTTTAGATAATTTATTTGTGGTTTTGAATAGTGCGCGGTATGATCTTGATGAATATATCACTATATTTTGATTTATGCATACACCTTTGTGCTTAATGCTAACATGAATGAAATTCGGGTGGATCAATGCTTCCTGTCAACTATCTCTAACCACTGATATTACTTTTAATTTGTCTTAAACGATTATTTATACATTGCTTTTGACTATAAACGTAATTAAACTAAGAAAATATGAGCACCCAAATGCCCTGATACGGGGGAAAGAGTGGGAAGAGTTAGCTTCCCCACTGCATATGTTCCCACATCGTCACGCGTATAAAACCACCCACATAGTTGAGTTCATCAGTCAGTCAAAGTCAGACCACCATGGGAAACTTAGAAGTACTGGACGGCCGTTTCGTCCTGGTATGGGACTCCTCGGCAGTGCGCATCCACGATCCCGCACTGCTGAGGAGTCCCACACTAAGACGAAACGGCCGTCCAGTACTTCTAAGTTTCCCATGGTGGTCTAGCTTCAACTGACTCATGATTTCAACCTGTGAAATTTCTAAAACTCTCCACAAAACCCATTCTGAGATAGATATTCATCAGTAAACAGTTGACTTTTCAGGTTTTTATAATACAGCAACTAAGGGAAGTACTGAAAAATCTACATTACACTGAATATAGATCTCGATCAGCGATTAGAAAAAAAAGAAATCAATAACTGTAAATAAGTTTTCGTTGAATAGAAACTTTTTTTTCGATAGAGTAGTCAAAGTTTACCAGAATCTCATAACATATCAGGATAGCTAACTAATGAATTTTGGGAGATAAATGAAATTTCCGTGTTATTAATTGAAGAAGGTTGATTTATATTAACAGCTTATTTAAAAGTCAATTCAGTGTTGTTTACTCACTGGGACTTCATTAAACAAAATAATTTTATTAACGTAACTATGCCATAAAGCTTTTCATATCGAACAATAAACTCTTATTAGATAAACGTTGTCAAGTACTTTTCATAATCAACATCTTAATAGCTTGTTGAATAAACGTTAATCAACATTTCTATTATATCTCTTTCCTTCTTAGTAACTTTTCCAAGCACCGCAACTTTGCCGGTATTTTTCTTGTTTCTAATAAATACTGTCTATCCGGTTTAACTTCAGGTTACCAATATAGCGAAGGAGAACACGAGTAGGTTAGTTGGAAAAATGTGAATATCATACGTTCAATACTTCATTTTCAAAATGTCCATCAATTGCCTTAGAATTTGTTGTTCATTCATTTTACATATCAATCACTCTCTGTTCCTGTTCTCTTCTGTACGATCTTCTCAACCTTCTGCCATCAGGTATTTTACTTTCTATTAGTGTTACATATAACTTATATCGACAGATATAAGTAGCACACAGTACATCAACACTATAGATTTCCTAGATGAAATTCAGCCCTTTACTAAGTAGTATGTTTAATCTCTAAAAAAAACATTAGTTTTTGTCCTCAAAATACATTAGCTACGAAATTCTTTGTAGAAGATTTCAAAATTTTGCATATTTTGTGAAGATTGAATTCATGCACCGATAAGACACATTATTATCTTTTTCATTACTGGTTTATGATTCTACAAAATTTTACTAACCCCTTGAGATTACCTTTGAATTCTTACTATCAAATAGCGATATGTTATTTTACCCATCACTATTTTATTTATTCATCCGTATGTACTGGGTAAGTTAAAGGATAACAATATGATTGATGTTTTAGCTTAATTATAAGTATATTTCATTAAGTATTAAATAGAGTTAATGATGAGTCGTATCACAGATATCAAACATTCATAGTAAAGAAATTATTTCCCAGAAAATATCGATTAGTAAGTAGTATTCTCCAATACAATACAGCATGCACCAATCCAATCACACTTGACGGAGAAGATTTGGAAGATGTAAAAACCTTTACATATTTGGGCAGTATCATTGATGAATAAGGTGGATCTGATGCAGATGTGAAAGCGCGGATCGGTAAAGCAAGAACAGCATATTTACAATTGAAAAACATCTGGAACTCAAAGCAACTGTCAACCAACACCAAGGACAGGATTTTCAATACAAATGTCAAGACGGTTCTACTGTATGGGGCGGAAACCTAGAGAACTACAAAAGCCATCATCCAGAAGATACAGGTGTTTATTAACAGTTGTCTACGCAAAATACTTCGGATTCGTTGGCCGGACACTATTAGCAACAACCAACCGTGGGAGGGAACAAACCAGATTCCAGCGGAGGAGGAAATCAGGAAGAAGCGCTGGAAGTGGATAGGACACACATTGAGGAAAGCACCCAACTGCGTCACAAGACAATCCCTCACATGGAATCCTCAAGGCGAAAGGAGGAGAGGAAGACCAAAGAACACATTATGCCGCAAAATGGAGATAGACATGCGAAGAATGAGCAAGAATTGGATGGAACTAGAAAAGAAGGCCCAGGACAGAGTGAGTGGGTTAGAGAATGCTGGTCGGCGGCCTATGCTCCATTGGGAGTAACAGGCGTAAGTAAGTAAGCAAGTAAGTAAAGTAGTATTCCATATTTCTTCATTACTAAAATTTCTGAATACAATATCCAATAAATTTTGTCATAGCCAATCACAGTGACAGATCAATAAAACAGTTCAAATCTATAAACTGGAAAATGTCTAGAAGTTATCTTGGTTACTTTAATCAAATGTATATATTGTTTACTTTAACAATTATGACAGCAAAACAAACTAATCGTCAACTATGGATCATGTTGGACTTAATCACTAACGACTACATGTAAGTATATATTAACTCATGGTTAAATATTTAAAGAAAATGAGGCTAAAGAGATAGAGTATACATTGTTTGTAGAAATTATTTTAGAATTTCGATTGTTTTAAGTAAGTTGATAAATTTAGGTAAATGAAATCAATAAACCATATGCGAGAACATGATGATTCCCGAGTTTCTGTTTTAATAGCCAAAAAAAATTATGATAAAACGAAGTCTCTACACCTTAGAAACAAACATTCAGAAATCATTAACCTCTTGTGATCACAGTAATTAATTACAATCTCATCACATAAAAGTGATAAAAAAAATAGAGTAAATGAAACATTTAATCATAAATCAGGGAAGGAAATTGAAATTAATCTGGGAGTTAGATACAAATTATAAATTATCATCAATTTGATCAAGCCCCCATATACCCTGGTATGGCCGAAAGTGTGAAAATTCAGCTCTCCTACTTCATATACTCTCACATGGTCACGCGTATACAGCTACTCCTGAAGAAGTCCTACTCACTGTCTTCTCGTGGGATTACTATTCTTTACGAAGTTGAGAGGACGAAAAGTGAATGTCGGGCGCTTTAATCCGGTTGGTGGATATAGACGATTTTACCTAGGGGAGTTGGGAAACTCAGATTACAAACCAATGGTGCACATGGGCTCCAGTATTCTGAAAGAACAAACGGCGTATGAATCAATCGTTGATCACCGGCAACCATAGGACTGCATCTCCTAACGTTGCTCCGCTGCATTGTGGAT